AGAGGGTCATGCATCAACACTGAACCCAGAGACAGCTGTGACACTGGTTTTACAGACACACACCTAATGTTTGTCTGGATGTAGTTGGAATTTCACGATTTTTTTTTGTTTTTGCCTTTTTCTCTAACAATCTACCTCTCGTACATTTTAAGCTTTTCACACATTGACCCTGTTTCTTTTTCTCTAATCGTTAATCCTGAAGAGTTTTCTTTTCCTCTCCATGAATTCTAACTAGTTTCTGTTTCCGTGGCTCTGTACCTCACTGCCTGATGAGCCTGGGGCCTGTATCCAGAGTTTTGAGTTACTTTTTCCAGGTTCTGTTAAACATTTATTTTACTTGTGTTCACCCAGGGAAGTTTGATTTTACTGATTTGCTTTTATCCCTGTTTTACTCTCAACGGGAGCTGTAGTTAGAAGCAATGTTTAGCTATTGGCTTGACTTCACAGACTGGGATTGGAGTACATTGTTTCTGCTGAACTTTTCTACCGTCAGTACAAGATAAAATCTCACTCTGTAAGAATTTCATTATTCTCTTCCGTCCTTCGCCTTGTTTCTTTCCCTGTTTCCTGTATTTTCTCTCCTCCCTCGCTCAGATCTGCTGAACGACTTCTCGTGTTGATCGTGTCTCTTTGGTTTTGTCTTCGTGTCTGTTGCACTCTTTGCTGCTGAGCTTGACATTTACACCTTTGAATAAAACTGTTTTCTCTCTTTTCTTTTCCTCTGTCCTTTATTCTAGTCTATTGGTTTTCCAGTTTGTTCCTTTTCTTTTCATTTGCTTTGCCTCTTAAGTTAGACTCCATATGCACCTTTCACCAAGAGGCCTTGATTTCATTCATTTAGATTTTACTGAGGTTTTCACCTCATTGGAAAATGAAACAGCCTCTTTTCTTCTATTTATTGCTTCTGTTTCTGTTTCCAACTTGCACTATTCCTCCAGTTTCCATGCACACTACCTTGTGTCCTTCTTTCCCATCAGTAGAAAACACATAGATGTGTATTTACATGAAATCCAGCCCGTCTGTCCTCCTCCGTGTTCTCTCTCTACTCTGTGTGAACTCCTCCTGTCATTTTTTCGCTTTATTCTGTTCTGCAGTAGTTATAGTTAGTGTGATAGATTAAAATCTCTCTTCCTGCTATTTAACTTTTCTTTGAGCATCTTTCCTCTTTAACATTTGCTTCTGACTTTCTCTCTTTTTGCATGATGCTTAGTTTCCTCTCCTCATTTTCTCTTCTGCTCCTGTATATAGATCTCGCTTTATTATTAGCTCCTAGTTCCTGTGCTTCTTTCCCTCTGTCCTCTCTGACTTTAAACTGTATATATAATAAGACTGAGTTAGTTTTGCAGCTCATCCTTTTCTTAATTTCTCTTTCCTGAGTCGTTTTTTATTGCCTTTTTTTAAACATAGTTTCTATTCCTTTAACTCTAAGATTTTTCTCTGTCTGGACAGTTGGGCTTTATTTCATGTAAAAGTGATTAATCAACAACAATAAAAAAACAATAATTATATGTAATAAGATTAAATAATTTAAGTGGTTGAATTTAGTTTATTTGATTTGTATGGTTTATTGTCAAATAGAAGATGCTGTGGTCTTCTACAGATTTAGATTTAAGCAACATGCCATTTAAAGGTGATGTTATTGGAAGGGTTATGAAAAAGATCCAGATTTATGTCAAATCAAATATAAAGCATTACAACATTTTTAGCCACAGACGTTTTTTATTACTGGTTCATCCCACTGAACAAATCTTTCCACTTTGAGTTCACTTTCTGCAAACAGCTTTGGACTTTTACTCTTTTTCTGCTGCTTTTCCAATTTTCTTTACTCTTTTCTGTTCTTTCCTGTGAGCTTTACTTTTCCTTCTAAATCGTTCCCACATGAGCTTGATTCTTCTTTCAACTTATTGCTTGTAATGTTACATTTCTGTTTCTGCTCTACTTTCTATCATTTCAGTTTTCTTCATTTCTTATTTCAGCTTTTCTAAATGTATTTATCTGACATGAACCCACTTTTTTCCCACCAACTACTCCATTCAAAAACTTAAAAGTTGTATTTTACCTTTAACAAAGCTGTAAAACTTTAGGTTTTTGCAGGAAGTGTTCATTGTAACGTTAATAAAGTTGATCTGTTATTTCCATGTCACAGGTTCCTCTCATTCCACAATAAACTGTTGATGAAAAACTTGACATCTCCTTCAGTCTCATTTTATAGCTGCTCAGTTTCTTGAGGTTAATTGCATCAGAAATACTTTATTAATCCCCAGAGGGAAATTCAAAAGGCACAGTTGCACATCTTGAATTACCATTGTTGTGTAGTCACTTCCAA